AGAACGGCCCTAAACCCCTAAGCCCTAAACCCCTAAACCTTAAACCCTACTTGAAGGTTCATGGGTAGTTATGAATGGGGTTAATTATAAGTAGGGTAACTATACTTATAACCCCTGTTAAGGGACGTATAACCCTACTTAAAACTACCCATGAACCTCCAAGTACACCCTAAACCCTACACCCTCCCATAGATCCGCAAGGACGATCCGAACTACGAGGGACCCTGGCAGCCTCTTGGCCGAACTCGTTCTCTTGAAGCTGCCTTTCCACTTAATACGGGGGCCTATAATAGTTACCTACACTATTTTGGGGGTTCCTTATTATCATTACAGTATAATGCTCCCCCAAAACCTTACTTATTCTAGTTATTAAGGCCCGTATATTAAGGAGCTTCGGGATTAGGGCAGGGTTTAGTGTTTGGGATGTAGGGTTTAGAGATGTTGAAAAGGGTTTAGGGCTTAGGGGTTAGGGTTTAGTGTTTGGGATTTAGGGTTTAGGGTTTAGGGATTTTGGAAAGGGTTTAGGGGTTAGGCCTGGACTCAAAGAAGGGCCCTGAGGGTGGGATGAAGCGGGGCCATCCCCAAATACAAGTCCTTATATAAGGGATCCTGAATTCTGCCTACCTTCATCCCACCTTCTGAGGCCTCCAAGATTTCGTGCAGGGTTTCCGAAATCATAAATATTGCTAGTTCTTTTGAGGTGTCCATAAGCATTAGTGTAAGGGTTCCCATAAGCTTACTAGTTCTTTGAATCTTTCCGTAAGTATTACTATGACGGCGGAGGTTCTTCAGTCGTTCTTGAACTGCGACCTAATAAGAGCCTTAAAAGGGGTTAGGGGTTTGGGTTTGGGTTTCACTGTTTTTTTGGGTTCTGAGATTTACATACTAGGCACTCGCAGGATTTCTATTGGGGCTTCTGACGGATTTTCCCAGCATTGCAATCGTTTTGTAAGCGGCGTGGGGTTTACGAGTTTACGACCGAGTGCACCCGTTTGGGCTTCAGGCTGTTGGCAGCGTTTGTGTTGAGGATCTGAGGATCCGTGGTTTTGTGTTGAGGATCTGAGGATCCGTGGTTTTGTGTTGAGGATCTGAGGATCCATGGTTTTGTGTTGAGGATCTGAGGATCCGTGGTTTTGGGTATGGGGTTTCGAGGTGTACTTCGGGGTTGTGGAATATTGAAGCTCGCGGGCGAATTCATCCGGGCACTCCAGACAGCCCCTACTTGGAGGTTCTTGGTTAGTTATAAGCAGGGTTGTATGTCGTCTAGTATGAGTTCGACTTCTGCATAGCCTGCTTAGAAGCCCATGTACAGCCACCCATGAACCTCCGAGCCCTAAAAAGCCCTAAACCCTGAACCCCGAACGCTGGGATGTCCTCTTCTACAACTACGACTTCTACCTCTACTGGTGTTCTGTTTCATTAAGTTGAGGGCAAAATGCCAGCGCCGCTTTGAAGAAAGAGTGCACATCAACTTTAAAACAGAACTCCGAACTCTAAACCCTAAACCCTGTTAACCCCGTGCCTGGCATCTGTTGAGACCGAGGCACGCCCTCTCCCTCCTGGGGGCCATGCAGGGAGCCCTATGTCGGAGTTGCCGAAAATAGGGGACCCTAATATAGTACCCGAAATAGCAGGATCCTTATTCTAAGGACCCCAAACTCAGGTACCCTAATTTTCGGAAACTCCCATGTATCATTTGGGGTTGGGGGGTTAGGCTGACGGTGAAGGGTGTAGAGTCTAGTCTTGAGGGCGCAGAGCTTGGGGCTTCAACTCGGGCTCCTTGTTCATACCATACGCCACTCCTCCAAAGAAATGAAAATCCCCGACAGGGGCTTGTGTTTTGCAATCCACAAAACTGGTGCGCTAGGGGTTAAGGTTTAGTGGATTACCAGACCGTGTTCTAGTCAGTGAGGCCCCTACATGAAGCTCTTTCTGTCTGCAACCAGAAGCCATCGTTATTCACTTACAACGTAACCTTCCAAGAACCCTCATGGACACACTATTAAAGCTGGAACGTCATTACCGTCAAGCCCTTAAGGTAAAGCAGAGGGAATCCCAGCACTATTCATCCTAAATCTATGTCCCAACTTCCTGGGGTTCACTTATAAGGCTTAGGTCACCTAGGTCCCCCAAAATGGTTTATATTTAATAGTTACCTACTTATAGCTTCACTTATAATTAACTTGTGCTGCTCACCCCAACTTCACCAAAAACCCTCAACCCTTATAGAACGCTTGTAGATCCCTCCAAGGAAGTAGCCATTGCAGGCCCCCGAGCCCCAGAAAAAGCACGAAGCCCTAAACCCTGAACCCCTAAACCACTAGACCCCTAAACCCTACTTGGGGGGGGGTCGGGGAACTTAGTAAGTAGGTAGTAAGTAGACGTATCAGTGCCCTAAAAGGGACCCTAACTGGGGCTCGGATACTTATAAGTCCATAAAAGAACCAGTTTCTAAATCCCCCGAACCTCCAAGTAAACCCTAAACCCTAAAACCTAAACCCCTAAACCCTAAACCCTAAAACCCTAAACCCTAAAGCCTAAACCCTAAACCCTAACCCCTAAACCCTAAAACCCTTAACCCTACAAAGCCCAATGGTGCCAAGCCTCGGCCGAGGCAAGCCAGAAGGCAGTCGCAAGCAGTGTTTGGTTGCACCTTATCCCGAAATAACCTACCTTTTTAAGGACTTGTATATATAAGGACATCATAATAAGGAACCATAAAAAGTTAGGTTCTTCAGGGTTAAGGCAAGGTTTAGGATTTCAGAGTTCGGGTTTTTTGGGGTTTAAACCCTAAACCCACCCCTAAACCCACCCAAAATTCAGGGTCCAGAACCCTAAACCCTAAACCCCTAAACCCCTAAACCCCTAAAACCTAAACCCCTAAACCCTAAACCCAGAACTTGAGCCCTGAACCCTAAACCCCGGGACTTTCGGGCTTCCCGATTGAGGGTTCCCGGGCGCGCAAGGGTTCAGGGGTGTAGGTTTTAAAGGTCTACCTTAAGCCACTCAAAAGTAGATCGAATGTGGGATAGAATCTTAGTGTTCTACTTACTTGTGAAGTTTAGATTCAGGACTAAAGTTGCTGGCTTCACATTGGAGGTTTTGGGCCGGAGCTGCGGGAATGAATAGATCGAAGACGGTGGGGTTTATGCTTTAGGGTTTAGGGATGTAGGGTTCAGGTTTCGGGTTGGCTCGGGTTTACAGTAGAAGCCCAAAAGTTGGAAACCCAATAGCCTCAATCCTTAAGAGTAATGTCTAGGGAATCCTAGCACTATTTGGCCTTAATCCGGTTTCCAACTTTATGGAGTTTACTGTAGGGCTTTTAGGGATGTTCATTTAGGGGTTTCGGGGGCCCTGGCCTTGGTATGTCTATCTGGGTTCCTTTCCCGCGTGTGATGCAGGATAGAAAGTTGGTTTGGGGGCGGGTTTAGGGTTTAGGGTTTAGGGTCCATGCAGCTTTGTTTCTCAGGTTGCTGGTAGGCGAGCAGATGGGGACAAGACCCGGATGAAGAACAATTTGGATAACGACTGCCACGTCAGGTGCCCATGGCAGCAGCAAAATCAACGACAGCACAGAATGCAACACTCAAGCGATACATCATCATCTTTTTCTTCATCACCATCACTTTCATCCGTCATTTTGTCAAAGCCGGCGGCCAACTGAAGCATCCCAATTCTTTTGGTCTCACTTTAAGGTCAAGGGTCTCGGGCATCGGTGCAGAACGAATCGTTTCCTGGGAGCAAGTTGTGTGGATTTTCCAGATTTCGTGCCCTAAAGCAAAGAAGCTACGTCCCCGAGCCAGAGATATGGTTGATGATATAAATTCTGCATTACCCATAATAAGGAATATGCCATAATTCCCATAGTCTAGGGTCCTTAAGGTAATGCAGGATTTATATCATCAACCCTAAACCCTATAGATCCCTTAAAGGAAGCCCTTAAAGGTACCCATATAGATCCCTTTAAAGGAACCCTAGGACCCTAGGGCATAGACCCCTCGGTAACGGTAACGACATCCCTCCCTCACGAGGATCCATCTGCCATCCTCACGTGGATTAAAAATATATGAACCGTTTAGGGTTTAGGGTTTAGGGTTTACAAATTTTCGGAACGGTTTTTCAGTTATGTATTTGTAGTCACTAAATAAACATGACAAAATCAAGGCCAAATGGCAAGGTGGCACTTAGAGTTCTTTGAACCCAAATAAGTGCGAGTACTATTCCTTTGGGTTCCTTATTTTATCATTATAGTATAGTACACCCTAACGCCCTGTTCCTTTGGGTTCCTTATTATATCATTATAGCATAGTACACCCTAAAGCCCTATTCTTTGGGTTCCTGATTATCATTATAGTATAGGACACTCTAAAGTGCCCTATCACGCGCCGGTATCTGCTGCGGACTTGCAGGACAGCAGCATCAGACTTCACAGGCTTCAAAACCCGTCTGCTCAACAGCTGAGTACTACACGATGAGGGTTTAGGGTTTACAGTTTAGGGTTTAGTGTGTATCTATGTATGGATATAGTTCTTTCATTCATCCATCCATCCATCCATTCATGTGTTGATGTATTACTTGTTTATCAGCTTACCTAGTTGTTCATTGGTTTATCTGCATACAGAGCACTTCACAACTAAGAAGGATTAACCTTTGAGGGGCGAGGACTCAGCAGCTCGGCCCACATGCGCCTACTTGGAGGTTCATGGCTAGTTTTAAGTGGGGTCATAAGTCCCCTAATTTAGGTTCTAACTTTAGATTCCCTAGACTTATAACCCCACTTATAACTACCCATGAACCTCCAAGTAGGAAGATTACCTTGCAGCCGCAGGTTCGAGCAGTCGGCGTAGAGCTCAAGAAATCAGGCAAGTTTGGAACCTGAAACACAGTAGGGTTAAGGAGTTAAGGCAGATTCTGGGGGCTACAGGAATCATCTCAGCTGTTTAGCGTTTCGGGTTTAGGGACTCCTTTCAGCCAGAGAGCTGCACAAGATGAGCTCAAACATGAGCATCCATGGCTTGTGGCGTGAGTTGGAGACCGCAGCAGTTTACAATGTCACTGCCTCCGAGGTGCCAAACTGTTGGTCCGTGACCCTTTTGGATTTCCCGGCAACGAACCTGCGTTATTGTTCAGGACTTGATTAGTTTTCTAACGGTGCAACCAAACATTATTGTGTTTTATAGATGTTTTGTTTTTATTATCTGGACTGAAATTAGGTTCCTTACAATTACAAGCATCCTGCAATCTTTGCTATTCTGGTAACTTAAAATCCAAGCTCCTGCGCAAGTACCCAGAACCCTAAACCCCTGAACCGGTACTGCCCCCGCTCTGTAACAGTTGGAGAGTATTCATGATACAACTCTGTATACATATATATATATATATATGCGGATATATATATATATATGTGGCAGTACCCAATCTAAACCCCCTAAATCCAAGGAACCTGCGCATGTTCGAAATCCGGGAGACTGGCCAAGGCAAGCTTCTCTTCGATGTGTTCCTTAGATCCCCAACACCGAACCTTTAAACTTTTAGGGTTTAGGGTTTAAAGACCTTAAACTTTGGGTTTAGGGTGTACGGTTTAGGGAAAATTTAGGGATGTATTCATATAGTATGTACATGAGCTTTAAAGTAATCCCCATATGGGTACTTTATGGCCATGGTATATACTACCTAGCTACATGGAGCCTTTGGGTCACCTTTAGGCTTTTTGGGTTCGAAATAGTTTAGTTACTTTTTTGGGTTCTTATAGTTAAGTAGCTTTTTGGGTTCTTACAGTTTAGCAACTTTTTGTGCTCATACAGTCTAGAAAACTTTTTGGGTTCTTATACTTGAGTACTTTTTTGGGTTCTTATAGTCTAGTAACTTTTTGGATTCTTCTAGTTTAGGAGGAATGGGAAAGTTTAACCTTGTATTTCTGTGTAGTAAGGTTCTGTCCCGAAGAGGAGGAGCCTTACCGGCTCGTGCCGCCTGGCTTTTAGGGTTTAGGCTTTAGGGTAAGGGTTTAGGGGTTAGGGGTTACGGGTTAGGGTTCAGGGGTTGGGGTTAAGGGTTTTGGGTTTGCATACGCTTTGGGGTTGAGGGGGGTCCTTTAGAGGCTTCCTCTCAAGGGATTTTTGAAGCATACTAAGTTTACTAGAAGGGGGTTTATAGTGGGTGTAGTATACGGCAAAACGGCCTTTACAATTAAATGTGAATTTGCAGGGTAAACCTATCGATTTAAATGAGAAGTCCTGAGGAAAATCATGGATGCTTATTCCTAACCGCATTGTACTAGCGCTACGCCCTAAAGCCCAAAGCCAACCTAGACCCCCTGATTCCCTGATCGGGCCCAAAAAAGCACATCAGCAAAAATCAGGATAGGGATATACCATATAAATCCCCTCATGATTAAGCCCAATAACCCTATCAAATGCTCATGCTTATGTGCTTGTTAGGTCCATAGCCTGAGTCCAAGGATGGATAACAGGCTGCCCACGCGCATTGTTTGGCACTGTGAGGGCCGAAATCGGCGTACCTGGGATAAGCGTGTGCAGCTCTGGAGCTCTCTGTTAGTTCAGCTGATGTGCGCCTGGCCTCATGAGTTAAGGTTTCAGGTTCAAGGCCTAGGGTTTAGGGTTTTAGGGCTTGCGGTTTAGGTTTTCGGGTATTTTTTAAGGTGGTTTAGGGTAATTAAAACAAGAAAGCTTGAAGAATCACTGACACTATTCTTTAGGGCCTTTGGGTTCCTCGTGTTGGCTATCCTATGGTACACACCCCAGCCCTGATCCATTTTTTAATGGTTGAGGCTCCTTCAGCGCTTGTTATATACAACAACGGCTCTTGCAAGTTATCAAATCGTTGCCGTTTTTTTTACTTGTGCAGAGGAACTTAAGGCAAGTTACCGAAACATTTAAAGCAGGTTGCATGGCACTTACTTACGTGTAGAGGTACATACATACATATATAGATATGTATTGTAGTATATGCGACACATCCCAGGCGAGTTTGAAGGCGGCTCGTTCCAGCTGGTTCTTCGGAAGCTCACAGGTGAAGTGATTTCAAAGGTCGCCATGGATCCTGCTACGAGCTGGGAGGAAGCAAGAATGCTCATGACACCGGGACTCAGAGACCTGCTGAAGAAGGGGAGGAAGCTTGCGTTTGTTTCACCTTTGGGGGACGTCCTGACACGATGTGACGACGAACGACCCGCGGCTGCTGGTTAATAGCATTTTGAAGTTGCAAGCCTCAGCCGAAGCAACAGCATAATCTCCTAATCCCTAAACTTCCTAAACCCCAAACCCTATAAACAGAGAATACATAATACCCTAAACCCCAACTACGCCGTAACCGAAAGCGTGAACTCGAGACCCTCCTAAACCCTAAACCCTGAGCCCCAGGACCCATCGGTGCCATCGTGGGATGTGCTGAGCTGTGCGATCAGCAGCCGGGAAAGAAGCAGAGACTGCAAGGATGACTAGGACCCAGAGTAGGCCCTTATTCCCTGTTTAGGGTTTAGTTTCCCTTATAACACCCTCTAACCCAAAAAGGGCACCCTTTTTATCCCTATGTTACTGTTAGGTCTAGATGAGACAAGCCGAGGAATTCGTCCAACTACGTAATATAGGGGCCTTGAGAAGTAGAATAGTGTCCCTTTTTGAAGGGGCCTGGAGGGGCTACTATAAGGGATAGCATAAGGGTACTAGAATGTAGGGGCCTCAAGAATTAGAGTAGGGTTTTGGGGCCCGACTATACTATAGTTATACTATGGAACCCCCAAAATAGAGTAGGTAATTAGTTAGACCCCTATAGCAGGTTTAGCAGCCAGCTTTTTCAATGTCCGGAACGAACTCAGGTTCACTGATAACCATGTCAGGATTTTGCCGGAGTCGAGTGGATAACATAGTGCCTAGCCCCCTAAACCCTAAGAAGAAATAAGCCAGAATCAGAGACCTAAACCCTAAACCCTAAACCCTAAACCCTAACACTGCGCCATGCCATCCCGACGTCCCAACGGAGTCCGAGAGACTTTGCACCCTGAGCCCTGCAAGTCCTTACTTGGCTCTAGAAAGACTTCACAGCAATGCCCTGAGCCTTCATGTACCTATTACTTGGAGGGTCAGGGGACCTAGTAAGTAGGTAGTAAGTAGACTTATAAGCACCCTAAAAGGGACCCTAACTGGGTTTATGGTGCTTATAAGTCTCTAAAACAACCAGTTACTAAGTCCCCCGACCCTCCAAGTATTATATAGTGAATAAGTACTTAGGTCTGGGCTTGACAACGAAGCACTGTCAATGTCAAATCCGCTGCCATTCTTCTACTGGCTGTTTAACTATGGCCAAAAACATTGAAGGTTCTGTTTCGCTGGGCTGGCTAGGCTTGACTTTACTTCTGATTGAAACTGAATTTCTCCGTCTTGGAGAGCATCCTTGTAGCTGAAATCCTGAAGCATTTCGTACATGGAGGTTTGGTCCATCCTGGATCCTTTTTATATCGTGATTTTTTCCCGGGGAGAAACGTAAAAAAAACAACTAACCGACGGATAATGCAGAACAAACCTCACATGTCACCGGCTGTCTTAAAAGACAGGCCAATCCAGGTTGGATGCCCCACGTGCAAAAAGGTCGCATTTGCAGACATGACCCTTTCTTGCCCGTACAAAGCCTCCTTCGAATCTGATAATAACCTTGTAAGGCCCTTATGAAGTTCCTTATTCCTTGAGTCAGGAGGGCCTCCGGGCCTCATGGGTTCAGGGTTTAGGGCTGAGATATAATATACAATATTAGTAGATGGTACTAATATAATGTACGCTATACTATCAGATCACACTATCTTACTGCAATATACTATACTAACATACTCTACACCAGTAGTAGAACGTACTGTATAAATATAGAATACGATAACTATATGGTCCCTGCTCTGTAGCCTGGAGATCTTGAATCCTGAACCAATCCAGCACCTAAGCGTATCTACATCCACATGCCAGTTAGGGTACATTCTTGGAGTGCATAGAGTTGCAAGGCCAGGGTTAAGCCATTACACCTCAGTGAAGCTAGACCTATAATTTCGATAGAGACAGAGCTAGAGACTTTGAGGGATTTGGGCGACATGTCGCAAACCTGCATGCCTCAAGCTCCCAAACCCCAAACTCTAAACCCTGAACCGCAACAGGGAATGGTGCAAACGTGCATGGGGAAGCACCCGGCTGCAAGATCGCTGAGCCCTACTTAGGGTTTAGGGTTTAGGGTGAAAGATTGAGTGTCTGGGTAGGCCCTGTCGACCGCATCAACCCGGACCGTGGACCCCAAACCCTCCAAGAACCCTTAAATCGAGTGAAAAAAACCTTAAAACCCTGAACCCTAAACCCTAAAACCCTAAACCCTAAACCCGTTAAAAAAAAAAAAAAACCCTAAACCCTAAACCCTGAACCCTAAACCCTAAACCCTGAACCCTGAACCCTGAACCTCAAACCGAGAAGGCTTCGATTGGGTGAGATCAACGTGGGCTCTGCAGTGCAAGCATGCCTGGCTGTGAGGCCATCCCTTTCACTTTGTCAAAGTTGGGGAACATTTTACATTTTATGAGTATTTAAACCCAAAAAGGAATAAAAACGTAATCTTTCCATCCTATCCCAACCATGAACTAGTCAAGGGTTCCTTCGTGGGCTCTTTTGAGGATATTATGCAGGTGCGATTGGGCTCTTTTAAAGGAAACTTGTCGGGTTCTATAATAGGGCTCCCTTTGAAGCTTTAGGGGTTTAGGGCTTTAGGGTTTAGGGTTTAGGGCTGCAGGGTTTAAGGTTGGTGTTTTTTTTGGTTTTATTGCTTTAGCGTTCCGGCTTTATGGTGTTCAGGACTTTCGGGTTTTAGGTTTATAGGTCATAGGGTTAGGGCCTGCGAACGGTTCTATGCGAAGGCTGCAGGGGTTCTATGGTTCGACCTCAATTCCCAGCCTTCAGGCTTTCGCTGGTCTTCAATTTTCGCATGTCAAAGCTTTTGTTCTTTGAAGTGTTGGAGAAATTACTGTAGGTGCCTTCATAATTGAAACAGGTTTTTTAGCGGCTCCTTATCACAGTTACAGTATAACATACCCCCCGAACCCTATTTTAATTATTCAGGGCCCCGCATTAGACGTTCGGTTCACTTCAGCGCGGCGAGCGCTTGACCGCAAGGAATGTATAATTTGGGACTGTCGGGAGGTACGGTTTTGGTGAGAGCTTGGACTCTGTCGCTAGGGCCCTCACTTCGCTTCTTTGTAGACCACGCTGCATGACTCCCCAAAAGCACCCAACCTGCCAAGAACCAAGGACGACTTCACACTTAGAGGTATGATTATGGCCCCTACTATATACCCTATAGAAACCCTCATAGAAGCCCTTTATTGGACCCCTTTTAGGAACCCTATTCTCATTGTTGAGGCCCCTAAATCGCTCCTTCGTTGCACCTCCTCGTTAAGGGTCCACAGGCTTCTCCCCCGAGGGTTTCAGGCAGGATTAGGCTCTCAAATTAGGGTTGATGATATAAATCTGGGGTTCCTTTAAAGGGATCTATAGGGGGAACCTTTAAGGGGTTCCTTTAAGGGATCTATAGGTTTAGGGTTTAGGGATATAAATCCTGCATTACCCATAATAAGGAATCTACCATAGTTCCCATAGTTTAGGGTCCCTAAGGTAATGGAGGGTTTATATCATCAACAGTAGGATGCCCAGTAGTACCCTTATTCCCTTTTGTTGTAGTTCTGGATTTCTTATCAAGTTGCCCAGTACCAAAAAAGGAGCCCTTTGTTACTTACTGGGCACCCTAGCAAAGTTTGAGGGTTTATCGGTCTAGGCTTTGGGCTTGAGGCTTTGTGGGTATGGAGTGTAGCGCTTTATGAGTTTATGGGTAGAGGTTGAGGGCATGCAGTGGTGGGATATTCTGTGTGAGTTTCGAGGGTGATCGTGTCTCCTGGTCGACCCCTGCTGCTATGGTCGATTTGAAGGTGGTGGTGGCCTCGGGAAGCAGTAAGAGGGGAAGGTGGAGGTGGGTGAGGTGTCATCAGCGAGCAGTGGTCGGAAGCCCTAAACCACAGACCCTACACCTCGGAAGTTTCGCCGGGAACCCGGAGTTGCAAATTATAGAAGGGCCCGCGTTTTGGGCTTACGGAGGTCTTTTGTACAAGGCGGGTAGCCTTGACAAAAAGACAATTGGGGGAGTCGAAGGTAATCCTAATTACAGCCGAATTCGGCAGCCGCCTCCCTAACCCCACCCAAAACCCCAAACCCGACAACCATAAACTCAAAGCCCTAGTTGGAGGTTCATGGGTAGTTATAAGTGGTGATATAAGTACCCTAATATGGGTTATAAGTATAGTCACCCTACTTATACCCCCACGTATAACTACCCGTGAACCTTCAAGTAAACTCAGAACGATATAAAGGACCTCGAAGAGTCCGCTGTCCAGCCGTTGGCAGCAAGCCCTGATGCTCTTCAGGCATGGTCGGAGACTGTTACGGTTTAAGGTTTAGGTCTTGGGTTTGGGGTTTAAGGTTTAGGGTTTTGGGGTTTAGGGTTTAGGGTTCAGGGTTTAGGGCTTGGGTGGGTTCAGGGCTTGCCGTTGTGGGTTTATCATAGGAGGCCAAAAGGGTTTTCAGCTTGGGGGGTTCGTAGGAAATAGTGGTTCCCATAATCGGGTTCATATTAAGGAATACCACAAGAATCTTAAACCCCCTCTTTGCACAAGTTGGGGCTCAGAGGCTGAGTTGCTTGGGCAGTTTTGTGCACGGTGCACTTGCAAGCTCGAAGCATCTTCGATTCTTGCTGCAGCCGACCCGACCCAAGAACCAACATCTGGTTAAACATCTCATTATTGTTCTGTTCGGACTATCTTTACTGTTTTGTTTGAATGGTTCTTGTTGTCTTGTTTCGAACGGTTCGTAGCGTCCTTGTTATTACTGTCGTTGTTATGGCCTTAATAAGGACTCAACGAGGGACCCTAATTTTGGCAACCACCCACGGTTTTTCCCCTCGGTCTTTTAGTGAACCACCCATATGCAGGATTGATTGTGTCCAGTGTCAGTGGAAGGGCATTCGGAAGCTTCTTTCACAGATCTATGCCTTGGAAACCGGCGAAGACTCAACACGGCCCCCTTAGCCACCAAACGCTTCAAGCAGCATCCGCCCTGACCTCAGCCGTGTGCACAACGGAATTAGCGATTGCACAGACAGCAGCGGCAGTGGCAACAACATTAGTCATTGGCAGTTGCCACCGCTCCTACTGCCACTTCTGGGAAGACGTCGGCGACGGCGGCGACCACCATCACCACAACCACGCTGCTAACACTAATAATGGCAACAACAACACCAACTGAGCGGCGTTCTAAACTCCGGCTGTGGGAGTTTATATAAACGTTAAGATTTGTCTGGTCCGCGTCAGCTGGGACTCGGTGCGCGTCAGTGCGCGTCAGTGAAACTATAACTTTGCTCATGCGCTAG